ATATTACTGCTACAGTAAAAGTGGTAAAGAACCCCTCCCCCAGAACGGTTTTCTTTGTTTTGATAATTATTCCTGCAGCCATTATTCGGTGATCCCAAAGAGCACCATGCCCTGAGGACAGAGTAACCAGGGAAGCTCTTTATGCAAAGGCGACGGAAATCAGAGGCGCAGCCTCCACAACTCAACTCCGGCTCTCAACTTAGAAACACCGGCGCCCATCACACCTCTGTTTTCATGGCACTTCAAGGCCCTGCGCATACGGAGACCCCTCCCACCGAGAGCCGGCTTCGCCGAGCGAGCGGCTCGCTCACACGCTGGCTGCCGTTTTCACGATCTCGTCTCATTGCTCATAACAGCCGAAATAATGAGGCGGGTTTAGAAAGGCACCTAATGACAGTGGGTATTTACTCTTTGCCTGCTATTCCGAGTTGCCGTTGCCTTAGCAACCAACAAGAGTTGCATAGAGCACTGGTGAATTCTGGACAACTTAACTCTACAACTCCTTCCCCACGGGCCGAGGTAACAGATGCACAGGCAGAGCTACTAGCAGACCATTCATTCCTGAAAAACGCCATCAACTGAATACAATCTCTTAGCCACCCAGGTATGTAAACAGAGATATTGGTACAGCGCTCACAAAAAGGCTTGGGATGCTTGCTTAATTCAGTAAAAATATTGTAAATTTATCAGTTTCATAACAAAAAATCATTACTTTATTCATTTGTTTGCAAAAAATATATATCACATTAGAAACAACCAGTAGTTTTAAATAAAACATTCATTTCAAGTATCAAATTGAAACCCAAATTATATTTCTAAAAGAGGCGTTCTGAGTTAAAAAGTTCATTGCCAAGCAGTCTCATTGGGTGCTTTTTAATTAGTAACACCTCAGCAGTAACATAAAACACCAAACATTTGTGTTTAAAGTCCCTTTAGCACCCAGTAATAGCAAAATGGCAAGAACAGAACTAAATGGGTCTGTCAAAAAACTATAACATTTAATAAAAATAAAATGTCCGTGCAGATATGTGAAACATTGCTTGTCAAACTTTTGTTATGAAACCAATAAATGTGAAACATTTTTACTGAATTAAACAAGCATCCCAAGACTGTGAGCGCTGTGTATCAGTATAGACATCTCTGTGTAAAGCAGCATAGCCACTGACCATTATTCCAAATGCATTATCTTTTCTGACATCAAAGCCTCACATTGTTTTATTTATATAAAATCAAAATATTAAGATGTTTCCTAGATACAGAAACAAGGACTTTTGAACAGCGATGATTAATGAGACATCAATCTGCATGCATTATTATGAGATATTAAATACTTTTCAGTATCTTAGCAAAATGCAACATTTTGACAGAGCCAGGCTGTTGTAGCGATGTTGTACCGAAAAATTACAGTAGTGATTCAGAAAATAAAGGCAAACAAAATACCTCAAATATAGCTTGAAAAATTCAATAAGCTTCTTTAACAATGAGACACTAACTTGGGAATGAAATGAATATGAAAACACTCATAAGTAGCTCTTGGGGACTGTTACTTGGGGGCTGTTTTGATGATATTGCAACAATCAGATATTAATGCTGAAATATTCAGGAGTTTTAATGCTACCGTAGGGGACTGACCTCAAACGTGGGAAGAGTGGGAAAATATGTATGAAACTGGCTATAGTTATTCTAAGGGTGAAAAAATACCCCCCACCCCGGCCACCCCCCGGCCCTCCAACCCATCTCGTTTGATTGGCTGAGGCAAAACTGCATGTTATGATTTATGAATAGTCTCGTCTTCACCCAAAGCACAGCAGTGCACAAAATAAGATTACAATACGGCAATGTGGACGCTTAGATGACTTCAATCCTAGAGCCTCGATATTTTCAGGGAGAGTCTTGATGGTTGGATGGTACCTTCATGCAGAACATGGCTGACACCATGCACCAAATACCTGCAACCTCAAACCCTGATATTCTTAACGACAATCAATAGAAGTCTAAGATAAATCGGAATAAATCTGCTTTATTGAAAAACAAAAAATTATATTTCCTATCAATAATAATCATATTAGGTATACATTCGTCGTCAAACTCACTGTATATGCACACAACACTATTAGATCTATTTGGTAATAATGAAGCACCAAAAATGTCATAAATTCAACAAACATACATAAAAGCTACTGCTAGAAGTGGTAATATTTCATGTGATATTGTGCGTCTTCCAAAGCCATTAAAATCATTCTCCCTTTAATTGGGCCTTTTACTACAAATCAGAATATAGATTCTGCAGCGAAGAAACCGCTTTAAAACATGGGCATTAAAGGAATCCCTTCAGCAATCTAATAAACCTTCAACCAATTAGTCTTTCTGTTCCAGGGCCCTTTATCTCCAGCTAACAGCTGATTAATACCAGACCGCAGGCGATATTTTTGGAGCCATCTGTGACAGCTACACGTATAGTTTCTTGGTCTTCTTACAACATGGAGTCTCCTAAACAGTGTGGACGCTTTCTACCGTAAGTCCGAAACTGCAATTACTTTCAGGGAAGCAATATCTTGTAAGAAAGTGCAAGGACATAACTCTGAAGGTCACGTGTGCGGTGGAGGGTGCTGGAGTTGCCTTTTATTGGCATCCTTATAATAAACCACAGCCAGATCTCGGCGGTTCAAGTTCAAAAGGCTCATCCCACTTTAATGTGGCGTGAGGATGCCCCGTTGATGACGAGCAGTAGAGGTGGACAGGAAGGCAGGGAAGGGCATTGCCCATTAGAAAGGCACTCTCCGCATATGAGGGAGCAGTAGATATAGGGGGGCAAGGTGCTTTTTCTTTCGATCTTTGATTCCGATGAGCCGCGGTGTAACTCTCATGTTACTTTTTTTTTTGAGTGGGGTCCAAGGTAAAATCAGAATGTCCTCTAAGGTTTTAGTTACTTTGTTTCCAAATTTATTTACATACAGATCAAATGAACTGTGTGGAAGAACAAAATCATGAAGGAGAGATACTATTTAACTACACGATAGCGTCAGTCAGGCCCCAAACTCATAGCTACTATAATCCCTACATGACCAATAAAAAAATAAACACAAGATGAAGAAATAACAGCCATCTTGTGTCAATACTTGCAGCAGAAAGTACACTTCCATTTTAAAGTACACTTAACATTTTAGGGGACCTGTGTAAAATAATATAGACAAGAAGCTAACATATTGTTTAGTTTTAATATTCAGTTAGACACGTGTCATGTCGAGTCACACCCCAGAGAAAAGCCAAGACTGTGAAGCAACAAGGGCATTTTAATGTCCGGAAAGGGCACGAAAATATTCTTATTCATAAGAAAAAACGTCTGTTTCTGGGAAGCCAACTTATTTTAATCTTATATGAAATTTGCCTCCCAAAATCTATTCTCACTGTTTAAATTTGCAATGTCAAGGTTTATTTTGTGGCCCACAGTATTTACAAGTGACTCCCCCCCCACAAGACACAGGCGCATAACCAGATAAATATTTCCATTCACTCTTAAGAAACTTACAGACAGCATAGTGAAGGAGGTTATGGCCAGTAAGATAAATAAATCTGAGTTGCGGTGGTTTCGTTTTTTTTTTTTTTTTACTGTAGAATTACTCTACTTCTGAGAACTGAGTGAAAAGACAGCTAGTGTTAAGGCAATTTACAAGCCATTCCAGACCAATTTCTTCAGCCGATGCTTTGTACTCAATACTGCCTTTACAATAAATATTACGAGATATAGTTACGCAGAGGAAGCACTTCAGAGGAAAAGGTAAAAATAATAATAGAACGTCCATTTACCGATTCCCTGAAGAGGGACACAGCTAGCAGCTATATTTGCAATGCAAATCCCAGTCAACATTAACTTCGGGGGAGCGGCACGTGCGGCACACTGGATCAGATCGGAGTGGCATAGCTCCGCCTTGTCCAGACAGCTGTCTCCTTACACCTCACCAGGCAGCTCCAGACACAATCCCCGCCGTAGCTACTCAGCCATTTCCCAACCCAGATTTGTCAGCTTGAAAACAAGCAAGTATTTGTTTACTTCTGCAGATCGGTGTCGCCTAAATTTTAGTACAGCTCACCGAATGGCAGCAGCTAGAAAGGGGGACTTTCTGTGCCTCTAAACGTAGTCAGGCTGTTATAAAGCACTGAGCACCGGTACATCTTGGATTTCTGTTCGACTCCCAGGCAGGAAAGCAGCAAACGTACCAGCCACTTGGACCCTACAGAAATGGCTCGTTTCAGTGCTTCAGTGCTCAGTGGACAATGTTTAACATTAGAATGTATCGTGTTTGTTCACTGAACAAAGAGCCGCAGAAGTAGGGGAGGGCATCCGGTATGATGCAGGCTTGTAGGCATTGTCTTCTATATTCAATTCTTGACTTAAAATCAATAGGAAAGCAGCTTTCGGATTCGGCTGCCTTGCTGACAGCGTCACAGAACTTACACGCAATTAAAACCAGGGGAGTCAAACTTGTGCACCGTTACCAGCTTGAGTATTAGTTGCACCGAAAAGTATCAGGGCGCCATAAAAAGAAGCGGATTTGAATACGAAAAATCGGCAGAGAGAATGTGACAGACACAGACTGTCTGCGTGCACAGTCACCCCGGCACTAACTGACACTAACTGGCCTACTTTGTGCACTCCAACCGTATAGTGCAGGTATGTGTCAACTGCAGTGGGTGTTGGTCTGTCATGGTGACAGAGAAGCACAATGTGAACAGCACATGCATGGCTCACATGCTAACCGCGGCTATTGCGCTAATTATGCAATTCATCGGATTCCATAATTAACGGCAATTTATTGTTGGGGAGGGGTGGAAAGTATTAAATATCAGTTATAAGGTAAATAATAAAGAAATGTCTGCTTTCTGGCACAAAGCAAACAGGGCGCAAACTCATAACTGAAAAGGCTGGTTTTGCATAATGCAGAATGTTCCCGTAACACGTGTCGAGCTGTTTGGAGAGACAGAGTGAAGATCACACCTACCTCTTTTTGTTTTTTGCTGGCTTCCTGCCTGGCAGCCCTCTCCTTCAGCCTTTTTGCCTGGGAAGTGGGGAGGGAGGGAGGGAGGGAGAGAGAGAATAAATCTAAGTAATTTTAAATAATAAGTAATTTTGACAGTAATAATTCTATACCCTTTGCAAGGTCTAACTGAAGGCAACACATGCACAGCATTCACTATATGCTCTGGTCCCAGGCAGGGCTGTGATTGGACGCCATGAAAGCTTTAAATCATGTGATTGGCCACCGGTGGGTGGGGGACCCACCAGGCTCCGGAAACGACAAGAGGCGAACCCACCAAGGTGTTAACTGTAAGCAAGGAGAAGAAATGGGATGTGTGGACTGTACATAAACCACGGAATGAGAGGACAAGGCCAGTTTTGGCAGGAGAGGGAATTTAGAGAAGAGAGAAGGCAAATCAGACCAGACTCCATTGCTGTAGCACTGCAGCAAGGAACGAGGGGGAATGGAGCTAAGTGTTGGATGGGGGAGGACAGACCCCCGCTAATGACGCTAACAGGGGATCGCGGTGGCCAGCGATAGCATAATAATGAGGGGGCACTCAAGACAGTGTCCCCCCCTGCACCGCAGAAAGCCAGGAGAGCCCTTAGCTGACGAGCTGATCCAGCCTGGCTTTGGACAGACATGTTGTATCCGTCAGAAAGCAGCGGCAATGTCATGGGCCGGCAGCCATCTTTCATTTTCATTTCATTGGGCTGAATGCCAAGGTCCATCCCCCTCAAGACGTTTAGGAAGCCCTTACGTTTCTGCAGGGGTCAAACAGGCAAAGCTGGGGGTGTTGAGGAGAGGAGGGGTTTTGGGGGACCAAAGCCGTGGTAGCGATCAGTATGCTGGCATCCAGAGAGAGGGCTTGAAGCGGCATTTCCTAAAGCAGCATCATCCTCCATCCCACATGGGTCCCAGAACAAAGTGTAGATGTGTGATGGGTAAAGAGGTACGAGACAAATCTTTATTTGCAATTTGCACAAGTATGAGAAGAGGCACACTGGAATTCTTCTATCCCATCTTGCTCTCCATAGCTTGAGGATCACAGCACAGGGTCGGGGGACATGCTCACGGATCTGGGGACATGTGACTATTCTGCCAAGGACCTTCCGATCAGACACAAAGACTTAGCCCGCTGAACCACTCAGCGCATTAGCAAAATGACTTATACGCAAGTCATTTCTTAGGAGTATGACGCCATTCGCTATATGACCTGTATGCTGGTCATTTCTTCGGTATATGATGGCATTTTCTATATGACCTATATGCAAGTACTGGAAGGCGTTCACTATGTGAACGGTATGCAGGTCATTCCTTCGGTATATGACAGCATTCACTATATAACCTGTATGCAGGTCAGTGCATCACCTCAAAGCATCAAATTACATAAAACAGATGTATTCAGTCCTTCAGTTCCTAGGAATCCATGGCAAACAGATGTCACAGCAGAATGCTTATAGAGCGGACCTACTGTGCTATAATATGATCCAGATACAGCCGGCTTATTTGATAAAACACCCTTATTTATAATTCCGGTCCAGGAGAATGCTCTATTCTATGTGACCTTCGACGCACTGCTGAACCCAGTAATCGATGACAACACAGCTCACTGGATTTCATTAAATTTCTAGTATTCTAGTACATCTAGTATTTGCCCAATTCAAACCCTTGAGTTTAGTTCTCTGTGAAACTCTAAGATTATAAATTGATCCTTAATTAAATCGCAGAGCTTTTATCTTCCATACCCGCTTGTCCTTTGCATGGTCACACAGGTCCGGAGCCCAGCCTGGAAGCTACAGGCACAAGCCAGGGAATAGCCCAGGATGGGCCACCAACCCATTGCAGGGTTGGCACACGCACGCACACACGCACAGTTAATTAGAAGAGACTCCTATTGGCCTTAAAGGAAAAAAAATAATGTTGGTTAGATTCTAAATACATTTAATGGAAAAAATGAGCCCCATTAAAGCACGACGTTTGGTTGCTTTTCTGAGTTTGGCCAAACTTTCAGCAATGCACATTTTCTTTGAGCACATACTTATCTGTATGCTACATTCTTCACAAGTTACTTTTAATCGAAGATGACTTTTAACTGCAGACTGCGGTGGACAAAAAAAAAACAATGGCTTTTAAATCTGTTTTAATTGTGTTTCGTGAGTCTTCATCTCGGAAAATCAATTAAAAGCGTGCGTTTCCAAATAAATCATTCCCGCTTGACTAGACTGCTAAAATATCTTATCAGCTGTGCACTCTCAGCGCCAGCTGTGTACCTCTTCCCGCAGATCTAACGAACTGCCCGTGTGGTGGGGCACTGGTCCCACAGTGCGGCGTTGGGCCACCATTGTTGGCATATTGCCAGCCGCAGAGTTGCCAGCTTCGGTCAGCTGGCTGGAGTAAGATTTTCGATTTGAGACAAGTCTGCACACGTATGCACACGCATTTACATGCATGCAAGAGCTTTAGTACCTTGTAGATAATCCATAAGGTGCACTAATTGTGTCTTAATACCTGCCGAAATTTACGGTGTGAGTGCAAATCATTTATTACTTCGTTTTGTACTCATGCTCAAAAGAAAGCTTTTGAAAAAGCAGTTCTCTGGATTGAATACGCAATAAAGCCTGTTGACTTTCCATTTTAGTTAATCAATGTAACAGAGCATGTCCAAATTTATAAAGAAATGGTGATCCAAGATTTAAAAATAATTTTATCTAAACCTGTCAGATTCATTTCTTAATTTCAAGTCTTGATGTGTTTTTTTTATATCGATACTCATTTTTTTCCTTGTAATGAGCCTGGGAATTAAGGTCAGCCTGTTTGCAGCAACTGGTCTGTCTGAATATTCATCAGCTGATTCCGAGTGACACTGTCTCTCACTCTAATTTACTCTAATTTTCTTTTTTAACCAGCTTAATTTATGTGGGAGCTTTCATCTTTGAGATGACGGCTTGCTTATCAACGCTCTCCAGCTCTGCACAGACACCGTTTGGTATCAAAGCATTTTTTGCGATCTTGATTCTGCTTAGTCCACCAGCTGCACAAACATGGTAAACAATGAGGGCCGCGCCTTCATACTTTCGGGAGTCCGGTCCGCCTACGGGATCGGACAGACGGCTGCCTCGCTACACCCCAAAAACCACGGTGGGAAGGAGTTCTCCTGTTGATTTGGAGTGGAGTCAAATTCCCCGAAATCACAAAGACCAGAAAGGTGGCGAGAATCGTACTGTCGTGTCTCAGAACATCACCACACGTAGACTTCCTGAAAGTGACTGCTGGAGATAAGTCACTGGAGAACTAGCTTTGATTTTTTTGCAGAAGCGGGGTTTTTTTTGGGGCAATACGACCATCTGTGTCAGTTCTCCATGCTGCGCTGAAGCCATCTCCAAATGCCTGACAAGGATTGTGGATGAGGGTTTTTTTTTAGCACACCAAGCTGATCTTCAGCACCTGTTTGTCAGAAACCTTTCTGGAAAGTCAGCGCTGATGGAAGGTCTTTCTCCACCTCCTTACTTCTGCCGCAAATCAAATGTCAGGCTCTGATCTACCCGTGTAACGGGCGTCATCCTCAAATGGCATCTGAAGTAACTTTGGCAATTTCCCCCCCCCCCACTAAACATTACTCAGGCTCTTCAACATTGCAAAATGAAGACTGTGATTTTTATTCTACGATTATTCAACATACTCAAAATGAGTTAATCTGACTGCATGCTAATTAATCGCAAATGTATGTAAGCCTGATAAAGTTATCAATAGATTTTTAATATAGAAAGAGCTAAGATTAAAAAAAAATATCAACAAAACAAACAGTTCTGCTTGGAACATCAGACAAAATATTTACAAAAAACATTGCTTGTTCTTATGTGGAAAAACTATCAAATGGTATTTTATCAGTCTCAGCACGTGTTCATTCAGGACCTGCTGCACTATTGGCATACTGTGAAGATCTTGGCAATCCGCACTGCTACCCCATGAAAGACGGGCAGCTTTCAAAGGGAACGAGGAGATCCAAGTAGCTCTCGAAGTCTCCAAACGGATTTGACCATTGGTTCATGTAGATTGCTGGACGCAAAGCTTAACATGTACCCAGTCACGTAAGGGCCAGGCATCAGAGCTGCCAGATAGATCCATGTTTTCCAAACATAATTGCAACATGAAGGAAAAAAAAGTCTGTCTAGTGTATACAAGTCTGTCAGGACTGCTGATAAATAGTTGACAAGTGCTAGATAGACATTGTGGTCAATGGCCCAGCACCTCAATCTTCATTCATTACAAAGTCGTGCAAAACGGGCAGTACATTTGACCCAGTGTTTGTTGACATCTTGGAGCAAGCTTGTACCATGGTGAATATTTTCCCAGTTTGGTGTTTTGGTCCATCCTGCAAGCAATAGCGAATTCTTTGTCGACCCAGGCTTGGGTGGCGCTCAAGATAACTGCTTGAGTTAACCATAAAATCAGAAATGGATTCGGCTATCACCTCATCACAATCACATATTCTCACACAAGTCCATCCGTTTTAGTTAAAGGCAGCAGCTGAGAGTGCCATTAAAAAAAAAAAAAAAAAATCAGCTATATTGTTTTCAGAGAGCTTTCAATTCCATCAGTGGGAAATGGGACGAGACGTCAAGATACACGCATAGAAACACATGCAAGTTCCCTTCCATGCGCAGCAATTCTGCTGTCAGGGGACATAGAAGCCAGCTGGCTCATTTTCACAAGATCTTAAAGAACGACGGCTTCATCAAGCACTAGCATGAAACGTGACAGATACCGCTGCATTGTGGGATAGCGCATCCGTTACTGCTTGATTTTAAGTCAAGGTGGTAGTGGCAGATTCCACCGAAGCCGAGGCAGATCCGGCAGAGGCTGGTAAGTTGCTTTGGCTAAGGGCGTCTGCCAAACGCCATAAATGTGAATGTAAACGGTAATGGCTGGCACTGCTGAAATGGAGGTGCTCCATCCCTTCTGTGTGTTTGCCTGAGGTCACTAGGCCCCAATGCAAAACAGGGTGGTATTACATTTGGCACACTGTGGAACTTTTTCATCGCATGCCAGAATTTGCATTGGTCCTTGACTAAGCAGCCCTTATTAGATCAGCATTACCGGACCCGTCCATCTGAAAAAGTCTCACATTAGCTGAGCCCCACGCCAAGGGCCAACTACATCCACGAGTGATATCAATGACCGCCTGGCACTTCCATTAGGGCTGGTGGTCACAGCACGTATTTGTTAGAGCCTAATATATTAAACATTGACTTTCACACACGAATGCATGATGAAAATGATACAATTAGATGAATTTCAATGATTCCCCCCCCCCCACACACACACATCTTCCACATCTTATTCCTCAGACATTTTCTGGTCTGGAAAACACCACTGGAAGCATCCTGCGGCATTTTCCAGCATTTTCAGGACAGGACAGTAAAGACAGAAACATGCCGTCCAAGAAAACTGGGATACTGGGTTTGCTTGACCACAACATTAATGACGAACAAACACACTCACAGGCTGAAGGGTAACACCGAGATTTCATTGACTATTTCAGCATCTGCCCTCTCCCCAGTCATTCGTTCACGTGACACTGATGCCTCGTGCGGCACTCAATGACAATTCGGAATCTGTCACAGAATCTGATGGAACCTTCTGGTCATTACGCCAAAAAATCTTTGGGGACTCTTGTTTAAGAAAGAAAGAAAAAAACACGCTTACATGGTTTGTGGTGGCCTCAGTAGGGCGTGATAACTGCATGGTGATGCAATGAGAGATCCCCTCCCACCATCCCTCAGCGCTGCGCCCCCCCCCAAACAAACAAAAGAAAAAAACTCAATTTCAATGTGGACCTCAGCAACTTGCAGCACCTTAATGCTGCATCTGGCTGAGGCTCCTCTTCAATCATTCAAAAGTAATAAACTGCTCCTCTGTGATGATAGCAAGAACGCACCCTGAGGGTCTATCAGCAGTAAAACATTACATAAATTATTGGTAGACTGCTTGTGCGGATTACATCACATGTTCTAATGAACCCCGAAAGTTGGCACAAAAGTTGGTCCACTTAAAGTTACAGACAAATAAGGTATCTGAGTGTTACTGGAGAAAAACAGGAAAACTCTAAAACATGCTTAAATTCCTGTGATACTCGCAAAGGCTGCTTTATTTTGGGCCCTGGGGAGAGAAGCTTTTCGGACAGCTGGAGCTGACTGCAGCCTGATTTTGACAGCTTATTCTGGGGCCGGAGGGACTGATCTCTGCCCAGCTCCACCCTGTACCTCCCAAAGGGGAGATAAAAACGCATAAATCTGAAATTCGCTCAGATGACTCTTTACCTGTCAGTCAGGATTGGTAGAAGCTGACTCTTTGTACACTTGGCCACCAAGACTTGTTCTTCTTAAACAGACCTTGTTTACAAACCTGAAACTTTATTTGGAACGTGCAGTGCAGTGCAGTGCCCCCCCCCCCCGCCACGCGATGTGACTGTAGGACCCCCCCCATTGCCCTACCCTGTGTTTCTCCTTCACTTTGCGGCTGTACTCCTGTTTGTCGAACTCCTGGTCCTCCACGCGCAGTCTCTCGCGGGCCTTATCCATGTTGATGCCGGACGGCTCCTCGTCGTCCGAGCCAGCTGGCGCGGCCGTCCTCTGTAGTGGGGGCCACTGCTGCACCGTCTGGATCAGCAACATCGGGAGTTTAATTAACACGCTCGCCTTCCCGTCACTCACCGCGGGTCAAAAACGATCCGCAGACCACGCTCTCGTGGTAAGTATATTTGGGACACTATCAGTTCAGGACAATCTCTTGGTTTGACCAAGTACCAATGACTGCACAAAATTCTTAATTGCATCCCAGTGCTTGCTGCAGCATGTACTGCCCATTGCCAATTCTGATTCAGATGACTGCAGGTATCTGTGAATTTAAGTGACAAAAAGGCTTGTGCAACCCAAATCCAACTATACAGGATTCCAACACAGCACACAGGCAAGCGACTATAAATGCAATGGACTCAGCAGACTGAAGGCATTTCTATTGTCAGCTGGCCTGCAGGTAGAAAAAACTGCCCTGCTGAACTAAAATAAGCTTTTGTTCAGTTATTCATGTTTGTTCCTCTGATACCATGGCAACCGGTTGCATATAGCCAATTACTATTGATATTATGCAGTTTCACAGATAATCTTTTGCGTTCAGAAAGATTTATGGTGACATAAGTGCCAAGGGTGTAGGATTGATGCTTCATAAACACAACGCTGCAAAAGGCAATGAGAAGGCTTCGGTGATCGTTCTGATGTCTGCTTAGAGTCCCGTTCAGCAGGAAATCAGATCAGCAACATGAGAACCTGCACTCAAGCCCCCCAGGGACACGAGGCTTGACTTCTTATCGTATCTGGCACATGCTCCTGTATCGGACTTATTTCCAAATCAAATTAGCACTGAGGCTAAAATGCTAATGCACACCTCTCCGTCTTCAGTGAAGGTTATCCTGGTATTGACTTTTAATTTTCTCTTTAGGACTTTCTTGGCTTCTTTGAACTTCGACTCTTTTCCTGGATCCTTCGTAGGTGTCTTTTCCTCCTGTTCCTAAAAAAATGCAGAGAGATTATTGCATTTATTGAAAGTTTACTGAAAACAGATACATTGTATAAATATTGTACTGAAGTGTATTACTGATGATGTCAATCATATTATCTATCCATCCATCCATCCATCCATCCATATATCCATCCTGTTAGCCCATTGTTTTCTGTTATATTCTCAGTTAAATGTTCCCCAGATTCAGGGATGCTGGGAAAGGCAACGTAAACAGTCACCCATCCAGGCCCAAGAATGACGACAAACCCCTGTGAAATGCAGTTTGTTTCCCTCACTCAGATACTGCAGCTGCACACTGGCAACACAGAACAGCCTGTCCCACAAAGGCCCCAGTCCTAGGTGTATAGTTACATAACGGGAAAGTGAGCTTATTTTTAGGGCAGTGGGACATGCATTTTAAACTAGAAAGGCTGCCGGAAGGACAATCGTCAGCTGGAGGGTGAGGATCGTACCTTAACAATCCCCCGGCAATGACATCTTTTTATAACAGAACTGTGCTATGAACTCAGAGGCTCCGAGGGCAGCAATGCTGCCTCATGGGGGGAGGGGGGGGGTGTGAATCCTACTTTTGCGGTGTGTCTGTGTGTATGTGGAGTTTGCATGATTGTACGGGTACATGTGGAGGGGCTCTGTGGTGACGACCTGCCCCCAGTGTACCCCGACCCTGGGCGGCTCAGAGATGGGCGCTATCCCATTTTAAAACTTAAGTATGGTGACCTAAACTTTGGGGAAGCAGCTTGGTCATTAAAAATATAGGTAATGCTTTACATTAACTGCACCTTCATAATACCAGATTTTCCCGTTACACATCACACACAGCCAGTTCACTGTATTATGGTCTGAAATGTTAGATAACCGTTTCAAAAGTTAAGCACAAATTCTCTAAAGAAGTGCCTTTTAATGTTAAATGTATTTAGAATTTTCCATATTAGTATAAATGCCTGCCTTAACTAAAAGGAACTACCATTTTTTAATTTTTCTGCTACAAATCCAGGGTTATTCTACCATACATAATTTTTGTCACAAAGAGCAATTTATTGCTCATTAAAACACCACAGCAGAGGACTCCCGAAAACTATCAAAAATCCATTAAATGTTAATACGGAGTAAACAAAACAGAAGCCAAAAAAATCAATAACTGGAAAAAGAACTAAAGCAGCCAGTTTATTTTTAAGACTTTTTAAATGTTGTCTGTTATTCATTCCAAACACGGCAAGGGATTACAAAAAGCGAAAAATGCTCGATGACAAATGAGATTGTAACTTATAACTTGTAATAGAACTTAAAAGCAGAAGTCAGCATATTTTCTTGTGCTTAATCAGGTCTGCCTTTTAATTAACATTCTTTTGTTTTTCAAACGCATAAGAGTGGAAAAAAACATGGAGATGTTTCATCAAAATGCACTGGAGGCTGTGTAGCAAACAGCAGAAACCAGCAATGGCTCCTAACTGGCCAAACGAAATCACGGACTGGTGGGCCCTAACTAGTCTGGAGAATTACTGGGGGGGGGGGGAGAGCGACATCGAGCTGCAATGAAGCAGACCTGAGAGAGAGCAGGCAGACAACAGCCTGGCCCAGCCATGCTGGGCGTAGCAGTGTTGCTATAGTTTTGATTGAAGATTTCATTTTTATATTATTTTCAATTTGCATCTGAAATTGAGTTCCGTTTTAGTTCGTTTTTAGCATGATTTCTTTTTAAAGATATATTTCTATTCAGTTTTTAGATATTGTTGTTTCAGTTTAAGTTTTAGTAATTTCTAGGGATAGACTGAAAGTTGTAGAGCCTCAACCTTCCCACGATGCTGTCGGAGACACAGCACACCTCAAC